TGGGGGTTGGAGAACAGTTGATCTCCATGGAGGGTCTTGGGTCCTCTTGACCACCAATGTGGTCTACCAAGTGCGCCCTCTGGTGGATATTTTTGGTACTTCAGTGATTCCTTGACCTTTCCTTGACCTTCCCTTGACCTTGGCCACAGTGCCCACACAAACCCCTAACCCTTGGTTTACATTGTTATCCACCACCCAGGAGGGACCCTCCTTTTAGGCATGCCCCTTACTCCATTGTTATTCAGGGGCATTTGGACCCTCATAATGACTGGTGCAGCAGAGTCTGCAGACGGTCGTCTGAGTGCCCTGCAGACAACTTGGTATTTCATGCTTCTGATCCTCAGCTGAGCCCCGCTCCCTTCCTAGCCTCCTACTTATCCTTCAGGGCTCAGTTAAGCATCCTCTTCCTCGGGAGCCTCATGAACCTTGGGCCCACTCCCTTAAGGCACCTCCTTGTAGCAAGTAGCCAGATCCTTACAGGCAAGCAAGCCAAGCAGTCCTGCAGGGCTGTGTGGCTCTTCAGTGCCACTGAAGGCTTTAAGTAAGTCACCATGTGTTTTCAGACTTCACTCTGACTGCTGTAGAGAGTAGATGGTTGGGGGCAAGAGTGGAAGCAGGTGGCCTGGTTAGGAGGCACACAGTCATCCAGGGAGAGAGGCTGTGTGCTGAGCAGTGGGAGCAGGGAGAGCAAACAGCTGTATTCATGACATCCAGGAGATGCACCAGGGTGCCATGGTTACATATGGGCCTGGGGAGGCTCCTGCCCAGGAATGCTCTGAGGTCTCTGGCATGAGAAGCAGAGCTGGAAATGGGCGAGGAGGCTGGGGTGTGGGTGAGGAAGAGTGAGACAGCCTTCGTTTGGTGTGTGACAAGGTGGAGCACCTGGAGCCCTTGGGCACAGAGGCATCTGCCAGGCAGTGGATATTCAGGCTGGAGTGGGGACGCAGATGAGGGAGAGGGATGCAGGCATTCTTCCAGCCCCATCCAGTGTCTCCTTGCTGGCCTGCATTTGGCCCAGAAAGCCCTTGGTACTTAAGGCTACAGCCACCAGCTGCGTAGCTCATGACACTAAAGATTTGTTGTCTGAACCTCCCACCCCACCCACAGTTCCTTGTGCTGGTCGGCCCTGTTCCCATCTCCATGGGGACTGTCATGAAGCTGGCCTTTCCACCCTTTTCCCCTGTTCTTCTATCAGCTTCTCATGGCAAATTCACTGGCCCAGTAGCCAGACCTTGGAAATAGGTGGTCAAGAAGGCCTATTGCCTCCTTCAGGATGTTGCTGATGTCCTGTGGGGCCTGAGCCCTGGTTTTCCCAGAACCCCTGTCTACTGGCCATATGGGAAACTCTTGCGCAGAATCCACACCCTGTTTGTTTTCCCCGTCTACCAAAATTGAGCTCCTGTTTGGTTAATTTCTATTTTGTGGCTTATTTGGATGCTGTTAAAACAGATCCTGGGGACCCTCAGCAGTCATTGTTCCACATCTCATTATCTTTCCTGAACCCGATTATTAGCTCTGATTTTTCTGATTGCTAGCTGCTGTTTGTGATGAGCTGTGTGCCATTAATACCAGCTGGTTCCCTTAAACAGGACCCACCGTGCCAGGGAAAACGAGCTGGCATTCAGAGCCACCAGCCTCTTGGCTTTTTAATTTTAACGGGCTCCACAAAATGCTCCAGGCCAAAGGGCCCTGAGGAACCAGAACAGACAGGCTTCCGACCTCTGGTCTGCAGTCATCTTGGTTTCCTTCTCAGGCTATGGCTGTCCTAGGTGCTGGGGTGGTAAGACCTGGGCTGGGGCCCGGGAAGGGGTAAGGACAGGTGGCTATTTGCCTCCTCTGTGTCCACACCCTCCCTGCCATTGGGCAGTGTAACCTCACTGACTCCTCGTGAGGTCACAGTTACATACATGCCCAGGTCTCCTCCCAACTTTGCTGATCCCCAGCCCCTTTCTTGGGCTCAGGCATGTTGGTCATACTCTCAGAAGCACATGTGTGCCTCACTAAATGTCACTCATCCATGCTGGCAGATCCTGGTGAACTTCAGGGAAGGAGGGGCCGGAAACCTGGGACAAGGACATTGTTTTCTCTCTTTATTCTTCCTCCCTACCCTGGGGTTGGGGAGACAGGGTAGGTCGCTCACTCTGGGCTGTGCCAGTCCTAGCCAGGAAGAACGGCCAACAGTGGGTGGGAGGCTTCCGAGAGAGGGAGGCAAATGTGACAGCTGCTTTTCCTCCTTTCCCTCCCGCTGCTCAGCAGCCTTGCCCACCTCCAAGAGGCTGTCCTGCAGAAGGGTCCCCCCTTTACATGCCAAGCCCACACCCAACACTTTACATAGATTCTTATACCCGCGCTTGGATGTTGTAGGTATTACCATCCCTTTTCTCTGCTCTTACTTCCTTAAGGGAATGGCTTTTGCTGCCCACCTCTTCCAGCACTTTCTATATCCTCTCAAATTGGCATGCAGGATTTTGAACCCAGATCTTCTGTCTCCCGGCTGCCAGGGACAGGAGTGGTTCAGGGCCCTATCTTCCCTGCAGGAGTTGCCTTCTATTTTCCACCCTCTGGACCCCAGTCTCAAGGTGGCCATTATCAGGGAGGTGCTTGCTATGCAGATGTGCCATTAAAAGGCATGTGGACATGAACGAATCCCTCCTTCAGGCAGAAGACAATGGAAAAGTGATAGCACTGTGGTTAGGAGGAAAGCGTTGAAACTAGCAGGCTCTGTGCACATCCTAGCTTTACTTGCCTCATAATAGCTATCTATCCTTGAGCAAAATTATTCAACCTCTCTGGACCTGTCTCTATCTGTAAAAAGGGCCAACATGGTCTATCCAAAAGCCTTGTCATGGGGATCTCATTAAGATATTTCATGTGAATATGTGCTGAGTGGCCTCATGTGGGAGGTGCTCGCTGACATCGACTGAGCCCCCCTCCTCTTCATCACTACTGCCCGTCTGCGTGTCCTCCAGCCTCCTCCCGCCTCCTCCCACGCTTTCTCTCACTGCACTTGTTTGGGGGTGAGGGAGACCATTTCTGAGTCACTCGCTCCTGGACTTGAATTCCGTTCGTGTAGCGGGGGCAGCAGGGCCCGGGGTGAGCCGGCAGCTCCCCAGCCCTGCCCTCGATACCACTGAAGTGTGTCCGCACTGTGATGCCCCTGCCTGCCTCCCAGCCTTCCCTCAAGCGAGCTGGGAGGACAAGGACTGGACTCTGAGGATCAGCCTGAGACTGAAGATGGAGGCTGTGTTCCCGAGAGCCCAGGCTGGGTTTCCCAGGAAGCACTGTGGCTCCACAGGATGCTGTTGTCTTCCTGGGTCTCACAGTTGCAGCTTGGGCTGGGCTGTTTCTGCCTTGCCGCACCCTGCCCCAACAGCAGCAGGAACCTGGCAGCCCTGAAGGCCTTCCCAAGGCTCTGCGTTTTTGCCAGCCACCCATAACATTAAGGCCAGAGGCAGGCCTGAGAGCACAGGGTGGCCTGCTGAGTCACCAGTTGTGCCAGAGCTGACAGCAGGCTGTCCCGGCCCATCAGGCCAGGAGTCCTGCCATGGCTCCTCCCCCACTTCCCAGGAAAGACAGTGCAGGGGCTGGCTTTGGCCTCTATCTGGGGAAGCAGAGGCCTCTCAATTCAACTCCCAGTCTGGTTTCATGCGTCTTGTCATTTCTCCCTCCAGGCATGAACTGGTATGCATTTCTCCACTAGAAAGTCCTTCTCCCCTGCCTAGCCCAACCAAGCCCGACTCCCAGCCTTTGCTGTCTCCATGCAGTGTGCTTGTTGGTTCCTGCATTTATTCCTCAGTCACCAGTTTATTGAGCATGTACTATGTGCCAGTGAGTGCAGCCCTAAGTGGTGGACATACAAAGATGAAAAAGGTGCAGTCACCCCTCCTGGTCCAGTGACATGATTATATAACTTCATTTATTGAAGTATCTTACATGCCAAGTCAACACCCAACACTTTACATATATTCTTATACCAGCGCTCGGATGTTGTAGGTATTACCATTCCTTTTTACAGATAGGTAAACTGAGGCAGAAAACGTTGAAATGACTTACCTGCTTAAGGTCCCACTGTAAGTGACACTGGAGGTGGAACTCAGAGATGGGCCTGAAAGAACAGGTGTGGACTGAGTGGAGGAGGGAGGCATCCCAGGCATGGGTGGAAGGCTCACAGAGCATCTGATGAACAGCAAACTGGACTCTCGGGGTTGAACATGGGGTTTGGGGAAGTGGAGAAGAGGTTAGGGAGGCCAAGGCCGCTGTGCAAAGAAGATGACACCTTCTCAGGCGGGTTGGTCATAGAGAGGAGCGGATGTGGCAGACGTGAGAAAGCCCGTGCTTTAGAAAGATGAAAGGGCCTAGGGAATGGGCTTGATGGACTGGAGTGATGAGGCAGGCAGGGGCTGGGGTGAGGCGCCTGGCATCCTGGGCCAGGCAACAGGAGTGACTGTGATTGCAGTGAGTCCAGGATGTCTGTCTCGCCCTCCGTCCTGCTCTGAGCTATGCTGCTTAGTCCTGCAGCCTATGGGCAGCTGTGGGGGTCTCTCTGTCCTGAGTCCTTATGGTCTGGCTGGGCCCAGACCTGGGCCTACTGTGGGGTTTCAGAAACGTGGTGCTTAGGGCTGGGGTGGGAATGAGGCCTTCCTATGCTTACATTTATTCATGGAGTATATATCTTTCTAGCAGCAACCGCCATGCCATCCCATTCCTTTTCCCCTCTGCAGCGTGTGTGTGAGTGTGTAAATGTGTGTGTATGTGTCTGATGCTTTACCTCTCTCCCTCTTTCTCATGGGCCAGTTACCTGGGATGACTGGGCAATGGTACTTTAAACAGCCACACTGGAGCTCTGCAACCTCAGATGATGCTGAGGATTAGGTGTGTGAGGCGCAGTTGCGGAAAAGATGACATCCCCCACTCTCTGGTCTTCTCCAGTCCAGCCCCTCCTCCCAGAAGCCACTGCAGCCTCATGTACTCTTCCTGTGTTTTTATTTTTTCTTTCCAAGGTGGGCCTTAATGTCCTGGTTCAGAAAGCCAACAAGTTCACCCCAGCCACCCGCCTTCTCATCCAGAGGTTTGTGCCGTTCCCTGCTGTAGGTAAGACCTGTACAGCACATAGAGATGTGTATTGTGGGTGGGTGTGGGTGACCGTGGGGCTCCCGGGTGGCAGATGACCCTTCTACACCTGTCCTGATTCCCACAGGGCACCCAGCTGGGGGGATTGGTACAAAATCTGTAGCTAAAAGACAGGATCGTGGGGTCCCACCGACCAGCTCCATGCTGAGATTCTGCTTTTAGCATAAGGATTCTTAGCTTGGGGTCAATAGTCAGAATGCTGCAGATCCCATGAGCTTGGTCTGGGAAAAGATTTACATTAACCTCTAACTGCATTTTAACATTTCCTTCCGTGACGGATGTAGGCAGCAAACCACAGTCAGAAGCAGGACCTGTGACTTTGTCACCAGTAGAAATCACAGATGTTTTCATGGCACATTATAGTTGTTACAGAAATCTTAAAATATCATTTATGCTCAACACTAGTTCATATTATCATTTTTTGAGACAAAGTTTTGCTCTTGTCACCCAGGCCAGAGTGCAGTGGCATGATCTTGGCTCACTGTAACCGCTACTTTCCAAATTCAAGCGATTCTCTTGCCTCAGCCTCCCAAGTAACTGGAATTACAGGCATGCACCACCATGCCCAGCTAATTTTGTATTTTTAATAAAGACGGTGTTTCACCATCTTAGCCAGGCTGGTCTTGAACTCCTGACCTCGTGATTCACCCACCTCAGCCTCCCAAAGTCCTGGGATTACAGACTTGAGCCACCACGCCCAGCCACTAATTCATATTTAATACATCAACTGATAGATCTTGTTTTTAATTCTTTAGTTAAAAAGCTCATCTATTATTATATCACAGTTTAAAAATAGTTTGATAATTTCTTTCAGGATGATCCCTTTGTGATCCTGTATTCTTTGTTTTATGCATTTAGAAACACTATCCTGAGAGGGGTATATAGGCCTCACCAGACTGCCAGAGTGGTTCCTGGCACAAAAGAAGGTTGGAAGCTTCTGCTAGTACAGGTTTCAAGCCTTTGGGCATTGTGACCCTCTAGGTTTCAGAGGCCTTCGCTCTACACAGGTGATTGTGGGCACACAGGTATCTGTGGAGGGGATTTCCCCTGCCTTCAACTGCATCTTTGCTGAACTCGGAGTCTATGAGCTCACGATAGATGCCCCAGGCCCGGGCCTTGGAAATACCACAAAGCCCTGTCTGGCCCTTAAGAAACCTCACCTTGTTTGGGGAGAAGGACAAAATAGTGGAAGGATTTTTAAAACTAAAAAGAAATAATATTGAGAGCAATGTAAGGCAGTGCATAGTTAGCTGTCAAGAGAGAAGGATAAACCAGTGCTTGAACCATAACACTGGAGCTCCCCATCTGTGCCCAAGGATGACGGGGACGGGCCCTACACAGGGCATGAGGACCCATGCCCTCTGTGGCACCAAGGCACAGTCTGAAGAGGCAGAGTCAGACCCAGGCTCACATTCCTGACCCTGATCATCATCTCCAGGGCCCTGCTTCTCCATCTGTAAAGTGTGGGCACCAGTACCCACCTTCCTACAGCCCAGAGCTCTGGGAGGAGCAATTGAGGCCACAAACCAGTTTCCACTGAGGAGAAGGTGATTTGGAGCACCTGCAGAGCCCCTGTGAGAGTGTGGGAGGTCATTGCTGGGCAGTCCCACCCCTGGATGGCCCGGAGGCTAATGAACTCACAGAACCAGCGACCCGGCTCAGCCTCAGCTGGCCCAGATAATTGCTATGGCAACTCCACACTTTTAATGAACTTTCAGCTATTTCTGTCGTGGGCCACATTAATGGAATAACCCTTTAGATCTGACTTCGTTAAGGGGCCTAAGAAAGCAAACACGGCTGCCCAACTGGTGTTCCTGGCCATTCAGCCTGCAGGGTCAGATGCAGCCTGAGAAGGGGCAGCGCTTGGCTGCACTGTGCTGGATCTGGGATTCGGCCAAGATGTAATCTGTCTTTAGCCAAGCTTTAGATAAGAACTTTGCCGGGGGCCCATTCCAGCCCTACCAGCCATCTTGCTGTGTGACCTTGGAGTGGTTTTAACCTCTCTGGGACACCTTCAGGAGGAGGGTTCCTGCTTCAGGTCTGAGACTTTCTGACCTGCCCCTCTTCAGGTTCCAGCCTAATTCCCCTCCTCTCTTCTTTTTGGGAATGAGGCTTCAGCCACTCACATAGGTGCAGCCACTGTTGGGGTCTTGAGATCCTGCACATCCCTCGAGGGTTGCATAATGTGGTTTTCAGCCCTGACAGTCCTAGCTCACCAGGGTCCAGGGAGAGGCAGGCCTTTTGTGGCTTCTTCCTCCCGCCTGGCTGCTGAGTCCTGGCTGGGTGCCTGCCTGACTTCTGCCCCAGCCCCAGTCTCCCCTCCCCACACACAGGCTTCTATCTCTCTAGTCCCCATGTCCAGCCCTCTCATCTTCAAGTGGGCTCTTGCGGACAGCCCTAATCAATGTTGACACAGTTGCAAGACGAATAGGTCTGGCCCTTAACCCTCCAGGGACTCAAAAGTCCTCTGGTCCTCTCAGGCCATTGTCCAGTCCCTGTGCTTGGCCCCTCTTTACCTTATCCCCAGGTACCCTTAGCCAGACAGAGTATCTCTAAACTGCACTGGGTGCTGGCAGGGCCTAGGTCCTGCCCAGTGTTCACTCCAGAACTCCAAGGCTAGGCAGCCCAGGCTGGGCCATCATTAAAGGTGACCAAGAAGCTGGCTCAGGCTGTGCTTCACGTTGTGGAGGGTCCCCTGTCCCTTTAGGCTGCTTGCAGAGACGGAAATCAGTAAGTGATGAGTGCATATGGGAAGGAAGTTGGGGCAAGTGGCAATGATCATATTTAGGCCCTCGTTGCTGGGACGTGAGTGGAGCGGAAGGGAGTCTTCAGGGTGATGGGGGGTCCTGAAGAGGCTTCTACTCTGTGGTCAGAGGCCACATCCCAGCTCTCATCCTTCTGAGCTGGCTAGGGAACTCAAGCCCTGGGGAACAAGGAAGCCCCAGGAGTCAGTTTCTTCTTCCCAAGGCTCTGCCAGCTCCTCCGTAGGCTCCAGCCTGAAGCCTGGGAGGTGGGTCACATGCCACATAAGAGTGGCCTGAGACACATGTGCCTGGGCCCCACACCGAACTCCACCACTCCTACCCCATCCTACCTGCTGTCTCATCTGGAAATGAGGCCTCTGACCAGACCTCCATTCAGCCCCTTCTCACTGGGACCTCTGTGACTGCAGGCCTCCTGAGGTTTGCAAAGCTCTTGGGGGCTGCACAGCTCCCCTCATGTTCCCCAGCAGGCCTCTCTCCTCCCTCAGTTCTCATTCTGTGCTAGGAGGGTCCGAAGGCAGAGTGTGCCATCCCCCTCTTACAGAAGAATGAACAAAGTCGGACTTGCTGTAAGAGATACTGAGCTGGCCAAAGCCCAGGCCTCCCAGGCCCAGCCCAGGGCTCTTTCAAGCCCCATGGGATGGCCCCTGACTCCTATAGCTGAGAAACTGAGCACTGTGGCCACAGGCAGCCAAGGCTACTCAGTGTCCTCCCTGTTCTGCCTCCAAGTTCCCCCCTAGTTTTTCAGTGTGAGTGTGTGTGTGCGTGCGCGCGCGTGTGCACACGCCTGTGTCACGTGACTGATGTGTGTGGACACGTGGGCTGAGTACATGAGAAATCCTGGGATGCTCACTGCAGCCGTTTCTCTCCCCTTGGAGAGAGGCGGTTTCAGGGCCATGCTGTGCCCCTGGTCTAGAACAGCAATCGTGTGGGAGATCGCAGTTTCTATTTATACATAGAGATGTTAGGAAAGACAGTGAGTCCAGGAGCATGTGCGCTGGCATCGGAATCGATTGGGGACTGGTAATTAATTTGCTTAGACCTTAATTAATTCTCCAGTTCTTTCTTATTTGCGTACTGTCACGCCTAATTGTGTTCAGGAGCTCAAGCTCGGAGCGAGCCCTCCGTTAATTGACGTATGGTTGCTTCAAGGTGAAGTTAATGGTTTGGGAAGCTGGGCAAACAGTGTAATTAAAGGTCAGTAGAGGAGGCATAGGAAAAATACACACCCCCAGGTCCAGCCACCAGTCTCTGTGAGCAGAGTCCGTTCCAGCAGATGCAGGCCCCACAGGCTTCTTGAGGGGCCTTGGAGGAGAGGGACTGGGAGCAGTTACCAGCAGGAAGGAGGGCCAGGTCCCAGGTCCCAAGGTGGGCAGTGGCCAGGGGAATAGACACATCTCAATGACAGTAATGGGTGGGGCAGGGGCTTTAGGGAGGTGGAGACCAAGGTGTCACATCTATAAAGCTGGCCCGCTAGATTCCCGGTAGGTGTGTGCAGGGGAGGGCAGGAAGACCTAAAGGTCAACCCAGGCTGCCTGGCTACATCCACTTGGAGCAGAGAACAGGCAGTGAGTGTCATGTGCTCATCAAGACCCCTAGCTGGGCCCTCAGCTCCCGATGAAGGAGGCTTGAGCCTTGGCATCAGCCAGCTGCTCCTTCTAAGGAGAACAAGCTTCCTGCAGGCACCGGAAATGCCAGCCTCAGCAGCTCCTTGCTGAGAAGTGACTTCTTCCTGTGCCATCCTCAGCAGTCTCTTATGTTAAATGTCACAATGTATTTTGTTGCCATGAAAAGATCTCTGTGTTCATCAGTGAGTCCATTGCCCAAGGGTGTCCTGGCAGTGTTTGGAAGGTCTTCTGTTCATTCACAGGTGGGCAAACCTGCTCCCCCACATCCACACCCCCTTCTCCCCCAGGCTGCATGGGCCTTTGTGTCATTGAACCCCTCTTCACTTCACTGCTCCTCCTTTGTGCTCAGTCCATCCTGCTTCCTCCGTCTAGGAGGTGGCCATGGCAGTTCTGCCCAAGTCTGGGAGTAGGCTCCTGTGAGCAGGAGGCGGCAGCGTGCACCCGTGGCAGCTGTGTCCTGGGCCCTGTGACATCAGGGTCTCTACATCAAGGTCAGTGGTGCTTCATGTGGCATCCATGCCCTTCAGGCACCTCCAGATGCCATGAGTCCTTTCTTGGACCTACCCTGCTC